CTGCACCGTATTGAGGGGAGGATGGATGGGGCCATGTATCACGAGATCTTGGCCAACAACTTCCTTCCCTCAGTAAGAGCATTGAAGATGGGTCGTGGCTGGGTCTTCCAGCATGACAACGACCCGAAACACACAGCCAGGGCAACTAAGGAGTGGCTCCGTAAGAAGCATCTCAAGGTCCTGGAGTGGCCTAGCCAGTCTCCAGACCTGAACCCAATAGAAAATCTTTGGAGGAAGCTGAAAGTCTGTATTGCCCAGCGACAGCCCCGAAACCTGAAGGATCTGGAGAAGGTCTGTATGGAGGAGTGGGCCAAAATCCCTGCTGCAGTGTGTGCAAACCTGGTCAAGACCTACAGGAAACGTATGATCTCTGTAATTGCAAACAAAGGTTTCTGTACCAAATATTAAGTTCTGCTTTTCTGATGTATCAAATACTTATGTCATGCAATAAAATGCAAATTAATTACTTAAAAATTATACAATGTGATTTTCTGGATTTTTGTTTTAGATTCCGTCTCTCACAGTTGAAGTGTACCTATGATAAAAATTACAGACCTCTACATGCTTTGTAAGTAGGAAAACCTGCAAAATCGGCAGTGTATCAAATACTTGTTCTCCCCACTGTATATAGCCTCCCTACTGTTATTTTATTAGACTTCTGCTCTTTTTTTCTCAACACTTTTTTTGTTGTTGTTGTATTTTTACTTTTTTGTAAAAAATAAATGCACTGTTGGTTAAGGGCTGTAAGTAAGCATTTCACTGTAATGTCTGCACCTGTTGTATTCGGCGCATGTGGCAAATACAATTTGATTTGATTTGAACATACAACCATACAATGTTTTTGCACAGTAGTAGAAGTTGTCATTAACTACAGAAGTTTGTGATCAAGAGGATGGCCCCCTAGTGTGTCCTCTATGGAAGAATGGTTCCTTTTTTCACTTTTTTCTGAATCACATCTTATTTTGCATCTAATAAACAAACCCAATTTATCACGGTTTGAGCTCCCAGAAAGTGCTATATAAATGCAGTCCATTATGATGTATTTTTATTCTGTCTAGCTGCAACACAAAAGGAATCACTTACAACCAATTGATGCTGTCAATGAGTCACAAACCAACATTTGGGAAACATTGGAATTTGGTCTGTTGGTCCTCTCTATTTCACTTTTTATTTCTCTCACCTCTCCTCTCAAATTAATTTCCTTCTGTCTTCTGTCCTCTGTCTCTCTCTGTGTCTCTGTCTCTCTGTGTCTCTGTGTCTCTCTGTGTCTCTGTCTCTCTCTCTCTCTCTCTCTCTCTCTCTCTCTCTCTCTCTCTCTCTCTCTCTCTCTCTCTCTCTCTTTCCTTTATTTCTTTTTTTTTTAAATGTCACAATCTTAAATGGACTGAAAGTGCCTACTAAATGTGAAGAAGGTGGTGTGTTCATGTCAGTGATGAACAGCTTGTGTGTTAGAGCTGACCACTGCCCTTACAAAAAGAACAAGGTCATTTTCTCAGTCACAAACATTTATTTACATTCAAAACTACACTCTTATAGGTAAAAGCCTTCTGGGTTAAATGTAGAACCCTCTGTGGAAAGGGGACAGTCGAAGAACCCTTTTAGGTTCTAGTTAGAACCTTTTTTCTAAGAGTGTAGCCTCACAACTTATCTGAGATTACACATCAATAGACATGAATGAAGCAATCCTGGCTGTTTATGTAACGAAGAAGTGAAACGTTGAGGTTCTTCCTCTTTCCTCTGAGTCAGAACCAATTAATAGGGTGAGGTACAAATTGTACTTTTCTTTTGCTTGTCACAAACTAAGTGAATTCTACTGAGTGACAAGGACAGCTGGAGTGTCTTTCATACCACCTTTGCATAGGTTTTGTTTATGTTGTAAATTGTGAGCTTATGGAAATTCAGCACTGAATGGAAAATAGAGGATTTTGTTACAGTACAGTATAGCTTAATTTGCTAATTTGAGCCCTGTGTTGTGAAGAGACATGAAGGCTCTGTTTGGACTGTTGGTGATGTTAGCAGGCGTGTCTCATGGTAAGAAGTATATTTATGTGTCGATTTCCCTCTTGTTTAACACATGATATAAGGAGCGTTGTTTATATCATATAGAAAGTGAACCACTTGATCAAAGCTATTTGTGGTATACTCTAGGCTACTCAGAATCCCTTTTGTCAAATGAATCCCACTCATAATGACTAATGATAGATACAGAGACAAAATTCAAAAGACAGAGTTGTCTCGTTATTCATTGTCTTGTGATAATTATAACTGACTGAGGTACTGTTATGTTGCCTATAACTTTTTTTTGTTGTCATTTAGCAGAAGCTCTTATCCAGAGCGACTTACAGTTAGTGAGTGCAAACATTTTCATGCTGGCCCCCCGTGGGAAACGAACCCACAACCCTGGCGTTGCAAGCGCCAAGCTCTACCAACTGAGCTACAGGGGACATTGGTTTGGTTATCAAATCAAATCAAATTGTATTTGTCACATGCGCCGAATACAACCGGTATAGACCTTACCGTGAAATGCTTACTTACAAGCCCTTAACCAACAATGCGGTTCAAGAAATAGAGTTAAGAAAATATTTACTAAATTAAACAAAGTTTAAAATAAAATAAAAAATAACACAGTAAAATAACATTAACGAGGCTATATACAGGGGGTACCTGTACCGAGTCAATGTGTGTTAGGTAAGTCGAGGTAATTTGTACATGTAGGTAGGGGTAAAGTGACTATGCATAGATAATAAACAGTGAGTAGCAGCAGTGTAAAAACAAAGGGGGGTCAATGTAAATAGTCCTTGTGGCCATTTGATTAATTGTTCAGCAGTCTTATGGCTTGGGGGTAGAAGCTGTTAAGGAATCGTTAGGACCTAGACTTGGCGCTCCGGTTGTGTAGTCAGCAAACGTAATGATGGTGTTGGAGTCGTGCTTGGCCATGCAGTCGTGGGTGAACAGGGAGTACAAAAGGGGCCTAAGCACGCACCCCTGAGTAGCACAGGTGTTGAGGATCAGCATGGCAGATGTGTTGTTGCCTACCCTTACCACCTGGGGGTGGCCCGTCAGGAAGTCCAGGATCCAGTTGCAGAGGTAGGCATTTAGTCCCAGGGTCCTTAGCTTAGTGATAAGCTTTGTAGGCACTATGGTGTTGAACGCTGAGCTGTGGCCAATGAACAGCATTCTCACATAGGTGTTCCTTTTGTCCAGGTGGGAAAGGGCAGTGTGGAGTGCGATTGAGATTGCGTCATCTGTGGATATGTTGGGGATGTATGCGATTTGGAGTGGGTCTAGGGTTTCCGGGATGATGGTGTTGATGTGAGCCTTTCAAAGCACTTCATGGCTACTGACGTGAGTGCTACGGGGCTGTAGTCATTTAGGCAGGTTACCTTCGCTTTCTTGGGCACAGGGACTATGGTGGTCTGCTTGAAACATGTAGGTATTACAGACTCGGTCAGGGAGAGGTTGAAAATGTCAGTGAAGACACTTGCCAGTTGGTCCGCACATGCTCTGAATACACGTCCTGGTAATTCGTCTGGCCCAGCGGCCTTGTGAATTTTGTGAATGTTGACCTGTTTAAAGGTCAACATTCGGCTATGGAGAGCGTGATCAAACAGTCGTCCGGAACAGCTGGTGGTCTCATGAATGCTTCAGTGTTACTTGCCTCGAAACGAGCATAAAAGGCATTTAGATCGTCTGGTAGGCTTGCGTCACTGTGCAGCTCACGGCTGAGTTTCCCTTTGTAGTCCGTAGTAGTTTGCAAGCACTGCCAAATCCGACGAGCGTCAGAGCCAGTGTAGTAGGATTCAATCTTAGTCCTGTATTGACTCTTTGCCTGTTTGATGGTTCGTCTGAGGGCATAGCGGGATTTATTTTAAGCGTCCGGATTAGTGTCCCGGTCCTTGAAATTGGTAGCTCTAGCCTTTAGCTTGTTGAGGATGTTGCCTGTAATCCATGGCTTCTGAATGGGATATATATACGTACGGTCACTGTGGGGATGACGTCGTCGATGCACTTATTGATGAAGCCGGTGACTGAGGTGGCATACTAATCAATGCCATTGGACGAATCCCGGAACATATTCCAGTCTGTGCTAGCAAAACAGTCCTTTAGACATTTACATTTACATTTTAGTCATTTAGCAGACGCTCTTATCCAGAGCGACTTACAGTTAGTGAGTGCATACATTTTTCATACTGGCCCCCCGTGGGAAACGAACCCACAACCCTGGCGTTGCAAGCGCCATGCTCTACCAACTGAGCTACATGGGGCCCCAGTTTAGTCACATAATTTCTCAATTTACAATATGTCTGCCAATCAGATGTGAAGCCAGACATATTTGCCACTCCCTTTGCTTTATTTCTCTCAACTACACAGTTTTTCAATTCCTCATCAATCCAGGGGACCTTAACAGTTCTAATAACTGGAAAAAACAAATTAATGTTTCGTATGCATCTCATCTTTTGTGGGAACTCTACCCTTCTATCCACCTCCACATCCCCAAAAACATTTAAATAACTTCAGCTAAAAGCTAGAAACAGTGCTGTTTTAAAACATAGAGCTACAGTAAGATTCAGATTGATAAAATAAAATAAAAGGAGTTAAAGTTTAATTTTTAAAAATGATTCTAAAATAATGTTTTAATACAAATCAAACAGTAAACAGGACTAGATGCACGACTTCTCTCCAACACATGAGTGTGTTTGCTTCTTGTTATGCTTCCCTTATAGAATTAGTGAAAGCCAAGCAGGCCTCTCCAGAATACTGAATGGTATGCACTTAGCCCCTTTGTGGACAGAACCAAACAGTGGAGGGATGGAAGGGTAAAGTAAATAGCTGCCAATGGGGACAGTAACACAAAACACTGTTGTAATAATAAACAGACACATAAATAAAAGTCCCACGGGGAGGGGACACCCAGCCCCCCCCCCCCCTCCCACTTCCCCCTCCTTATGTACAAACATATTGTCCGATCGCCCAGGAGTCCATTTTCTCCCCTCCTCTAATTACACCATGGTCTCCTTCCTCTTCCCTAAGGCACAGAGGGAGCGCTTGTCCTTTTTGGTTTTGTGTTTGGGCGACGGGGAGGATAGTGGTGATGAAGAGGAGGATGAGGAGCGGGAGGAGGGAGACGTTGAGGTGGGGCTGGGGGTCTCGTCCCCGCATGGCGAACTGGGGGCGGACGTTGGACCTGCGGGCGTCAGAGGGCAGTTCTCGTCGGCCTCCTCTATGTGGATGATGGCGGAGATTTTGGAGGAGCGCCGCTTGGAGTGGGCGTCGGCTGCCGGGGAGGAGGCGGGTGTGGTGACAGCGGCGTCCGCGGGGTGGTGGACGGAGATGGCGCTGCGCAGGCAGTTGAGCCACTGCTGCTTGTGGAAGACGTCATTGACCTGCAGCGTGTGGGACTGGCCCTGAGACGGGTCTTGGAAACGCACACGGAAGATGTTCTTGGCTTTGTCTGAGTTACTGAATGCTCCTCTGAAGGAGCCACCCATCTTGACGTCTCCATCCTGTAGGTCCTCCAGCACCAAGTCCTGCACCGGGATTGGCTGCCGGTACACCTGGAAACAGTGGTGCTCGTTCCTCGTCACAGACCGGGTCATTACCAACAGCTCTGTGAACAGGAACACGTGCAGCTTTGTTCCGCTCTTGTTGCGTAGCTCGCCGTGACACAACAGACTCTTGCACTGGTCAATGCGCGGGTCTCTTTGCCTGTCGTCCAGATACTCCAGTTTGTCTATGTAGTACTGGCTCTCTGACTCCCCCTTCTTCATGTTGATGTCAGACAACACACCCTGGATGATGGTGATTGCTTGCTCCAGGCGGGGCGTGTCGGGGTGCTCGGGCGCTGTGTGTTTGAGGATCTCTCTGAGCAGGAGGGGGTATTTGAACAGACGGGAGCGGGGGATGTCCAGGAAGCTCCACAGGTCCAGCTTCCTGCTGAAGGGAGACTCCAGGCAGCGCTGCAGGAAGTCCTGCACCCTCCGGTCCTGTTTCTTCTGGTCCAACAGGGCCTTGGCCGCCACCTGGTTACTGCAGTAATCTCGGTATGCATTCAGCCCTGGCAACCAGCTGACGACGATCTGTCCTATCTGTCCCACGGTGCCGTCGGGGCCGGTGGCTCTGGCCAGCTGGGCCAGCAGGTCCTCGTGGAGGGGGATGTAGGCATCCAGGTCCCCGAAGATATGGGTCAGCTCCTCCTCCGACATGATACTCAGCTTCAGCATGGGGTCGTGGTACGCCTTGCGTGCGAGTTGGAGGTCCTCAATCAGGTCCTGTTCTCCGCGAGTCAACTCAAATATGGCCTCCTGTCTCTTGATCTCCTTGGTGGAGAAGGTGCCCTTCTGGTGGACGTCTAATGTCTCCGACCACAGCATAGCATCCGCGTCATCTGACCATTTCCGAATTGAGCGAGTCACTGGTACTTCCTGCTTTAGTTTTTGCTTGTAAGCAGGAATCAGGAGGATAGAATCATGGTCAGATTTTCCAAAATTGGAGGGCGAGGGAGAGCTTTGTATGCGTCTCTGTGTGTGGAGTAAAGGTGGTCTAGAGATTTTTCTCCTCTGGTTGCACATGTGACATGCTGGTAGAAATTAGGTAGAACGGATTACATTTTACCTTCATTAAAGTCCCCGGCCACTAGGAGCGCCGCTTCTGGATGAGTATTTTCTTCTTTGCTTATTGCCTTATACAGATCGTTGAGTGCGGTCTTAGTGCCAGCATCGGTTTGTGGTGGTAAGTAGACGGCTACAAATAATATAGATGAAAACTATTTTGGTAGATAGTGTGGTGTTCTGCTTATCATGATCTACTCTACCTCAGGCTAGTAATACCTCAAGACTTCTTATTAGATATTATATATATTAGATATACTGTATAATATTAGACATTGCGAACAAGCTGTTATTGACAAATAGACACACACCCCCACCCTTTGTCTTACCAGACGTAGCTGCTCTGTCCTGCCGATGCACGGAAAACCCAGCCAGCTCTATAGTATCCGTGTCGTCGTTCAGCCACGACTCGGTGAAACATAAGATATTACAGTTTTTAATATCCCGTTAGTAGGATAGTCTTGATTGTAGATCATCCAGTTTATTTTCCAGTGATTGCAAGTTGCCCATTAGAACGGATGGTAGAGGCGGTTTACTCACTCGCCAACAAATTCTCACGAGGCACCCCGACCTCCGACCCCTGCATTTCCATATTTTCTTCACGCGATTGACAGGGATTTGGGCCTGGTCTCGGGGAAGCAGTATATCCTTCCTGTCGGACTAATTAAAGAAAAAACATTAGTCCAGTTCGAGGTGAGTGATCGCTGTTCTAATGTCCAGCAGCTCTTTTCGGTCATAAGAGACGTTTTTTTCGCAATCAATGCGAAAAAAACAAACAAAATAGCACAGTTGGTTAGGAGCCTGTAAAACGGCAGCCATCCCCTCCGGCGCCATTACTCTCTGGTTATACGGTTGCTTGCTTGTATTCTCATCCATAAAATTATACCTTAAAACTAGGACAGTGATAGTCACTACAGTGTCTATATTCTTCTTGATTTTCAGGAATGGAGACCCACTGTGATGCAACACTGGATGGAGCTCAGTGTTATGGAGCTCTGGGAGGAACTGTCTCTCTCCAGCTGATGACCATTGACAGTAAAGTCCCTGACATATTATTAAAAACCATCTCCACTGGTGTTACTAAAATTATACTCAAAATTAGAAACAAAACTGATAAAAAAGTAAAAATCCACAAATCCATTGAAACCAGAGCACACTTCTTTTTCAACAACGGAACATTTAGGATAGATAACACAGAAAGAAGTGATTCTACTGAATATAGACTAGAAACATTTAATTCAGATGGGGAAACAATAAGGACAAGAAGACTACAACTGTTTATTGAAGGTATAGTAATTAGCTAACCCTTTAAAAATCTCATATTGACAAATCCTTATTACTAACCATAACTTGACTACAGAAGCCTCTGTGGCCTTCTAATTCTTGAAGAAGTGTTGTTTTCTAATGTGTTTTTGCGAATGTCTGCAAATGTCTACAGATGTGTATTCTTCTTCCTCCACAGCCCCAGTGTCCTCTCTTCAGCTGTCCTCTCAGTGTCTCACCCATGGAGAGATGAGGGTGACCTGCTCCTCTGAGGGGGATGGTCCTCAGTACAGCTGGACTCTGGACGGACACACACAGAGAGACACTGAGGCCTCTCCTGGTGACCAGACAAACACCATGACACTGAAGAGAGGCCTGTCTGGAGATCTCACCTGCACTGTCAAAAACCACATCAGCAGTGTTACTGTGAGCAAAAAAATCTCCCCCTGTGAGGGTAAGCTACTGTTTAATTACATTTGTTAAAGAGACATATTATGACAAATAATACCAATGATTAATGATAATTATAATGATGATTATAATGATGATCAATCTTTATCAATGGACATTGACCTGTTTAGAAAGCACTATCCATTTGCCAGTACTACGTTCAGATACATATAAGATTTCTGTTAATTTGATTACCTGCAGGGCTTATGTATGTTAACTGCACTTCCAATGGGACAAAGATATCAGAGTGGGTGATTGCCACTGGTCATACCCTGTGTATTGACACTACAGCAGTAGCACACACAACTGTGACAAAGGTCTCCAACAGTAAAACAGAGACAACCAAAGGCAAGGGGTTTGAAACCCTAGTGACCTCCACTCTAAATCGTCCCACTCTAAATCTTCGTCATACTTCTGATTTATTATAATTCCTTGGAACGCTATTTTTTGTACTCTGTTTACAGTTTAAGCTAGAAATGCCATTTAAACATTAAGACTTACAGATCGGTCTGGAAAAGTGTGCTTGTATTGAACTTTTTTAAATATTTCAAACTCTTTGTCCTTCTTTTTTTTACTCCAGCCACTTTAATGGGATTTCCTCAACATTCTAAAGGGCCCGTTGTGACATCATGACTTCCAAAATTCTATTCTATTCACTCTAAACAATGTAACTTTTGACCTAAATCAGCTACTTTGAACACTTTCCCAACAACTTAGACAATAGACTTAGAAAGCATATGAAATCTAAGTTTGCTTCTGTGCCTTTCAAATTTGAAATCAGAACAGAATTATCTTCTGCCGATCAAATGATACAGCTGTTTTGGTAACCACATCAACTACATTTCCTTTCAGCTTTTACAAGCAACTTACATTTTGACCACTTATCCATCAAGGTAGAATAAAAATCTGAGCATATCACAGCTCAGTCTACTTCTCTGCTATTCAAATCTGAAATCAGAACATAATGATCTTCTACCGATCAAATGATACAGCTGTTATAGTAATCACATCAACTACATTTTCTGTCAACTTTTACAAACGAGATATTTTGACCACTTTCCCGACAGGTTAGCCAAAAACTTAGAGGGTATGACATCTTGGTCTACTATGGAAGAGCGGAATTGCAATTATTAAGTGGAATTAAGAAATATTGAAATATTAGGATAAACATAGGCGGAGTCTGTATAAATATATATACACAGAACAAAAATATAAATGCAACATGTAAAGTGTTGGTCCCATGCTTCATGAACTAAATAAAAAAATCCTTGTGCTGGGGACAATAAAAGGCCACGTTAAAATGTGCAGTTTTGTCACACAACAGAATGCTACAGATGTCTCAATCTTTGAGGGAGCGTGCAATTGGCATGCTGACTGCAGGAATGTGCACCAGGCCTGTTGACAGAGAATTTAATGTTAATTTCTCTACCATAAGCTGCCTCCAACGTTGTTTGAAAGAATTTTGCAGTATGTCCAACCGGCCTCACAACCACAGACCACGTGTATCCACGCCAGCCTAGGACCTCCACATCTGACTTCTTCACCTGTGGGATCATCTGAGGGTGGGTGGGGTGCTGAGGAAATTTCTGTCTTTAATAAAGCTCTTTTGTGGGGAAAAACTCATTCTGACCGGCTGGGCCTGGCTCCCCAGTGGGTGCACCCCTTGTAATGTGAAATAAATAGATTATGGCCTAATTAATTTATTTAAATTGTATATACACACTACTGGTCAAAAGTTTTAGAACACCTACTCATTCAAGGGTTTTTCTTAATTTTTGCTATTTTCTACATTGTAGAATAATAGTGAAGACATCAAAACTATGAAATAACAAATATGGAATCATGTAGTAACTAAAAAAGTGTTATACAAATCAAAATATATTTTAGGTTTGAGATTCTTCAAATATCACCCTTTGCCATTATGACAGCTTTGCACAGTCTTGGCATTCTCTCAACCAGCTTCACCTGGAATGTTTTTCCAACAGTCTTGAAGGAGTTCCCACATATGCTGAGCACTTGTTGGCTGCTTTTCCTTCACTCTGCGGTCTGACTCATCCCAAACCATCTCAATTGGGTTGAGGTCGGGGGCTTGTGGAGGCCAGGTCATCTGATGCAACACTCCATCACTCTCTTTCTTGGTAAAATAGCCCTTACACAGCCTGAAGGTGTGTTGGGTCATTGTCCTGTTGAAAAACAAATGATAGTCCCACTAAGCCCAAACCAGATGGGATGGCGTATCACTGCAGAATGCTGTGGTAGCCATGCTGGTTAAGTTTGCCTTCATTTCTAAATAAATCACAGACAGTGTCACCAGCAAACACCCCCACACCATAACACCTCCTCCTCAATGCATTACAGTGGGAAATACACATGCGGAGATCATCAGTTTAACCACACTGCATCTCACAAAGCCACGGTGGTTGGAATCAAAAATCTCAAATTTGGACTCCAGTTCAAAGGACACATTTCCCCCGGTCATTTTGTTAAGTTACAGCCTTATTCTAAAATGTATTAAATAGTTGTTTCCCTCTCATCAATATACACACACAATACTCCATAATGGCAAAGCAAAAACATGTTTTTAGATATTTTTGCAAATGTATATTTTAAAAAAGAGCAACATTTTGCAAATTTATAAAAAACGGAAATATCACATTTACATAAATATTCAGACCCTTTACTCCGTACTTTGTTGAAGCACCTTTGGCAGTGATTACAGCCTTGAGTCTTCTTGGGTATGACGCTACAAGCTTGGCACACCTGAATTTGGGGAGTTTCGTTCTTCTCTGCAGATCCTCTCAAGCTCAGTCAGGTCGGATAGGGAGCGTTACTACACAGCTATTTTCAGGTCTCTCCAGAGATTGTCGATAGGGTTCATGTCCTGGCTCTGGCTGGACCAATCAAGGACATTCAGAGACTTTTCCCGAAACCACTCCAACATTGACTTGGCTGTGTGCTTAAGGTCGTTGTACTGTTGGAAGGTGAACCACCGCCCCAGTCTGAGGTTCTGAGCGCTCTGGAACAGGTTTTCATCAAGGATCTCGCTGTACTTTGCTCCGTTCATCTTTCCATTAATCATGACGATCTCCCAGTCCCTTCTGCTGAAAAACATCAACACAGCATGCTGCTGCCACCACCTTGCTTCACCGTAGGGATGGTGCCAGGTTTCCTCCAGACTTAACGTTTGGCATTCAGGCCAAAGAGTTCAATCTTGTTTCTCATGGTCTGAGAGTCCTTTAGGTGAATTTTGGCAAACTCGAAGCGGGCTGTCATGTGCCATTTACTGAGGACTGGCTTCTGTCTGGCCACTCTACCATAAAGGCCTGATTGGTTGAGTGCTGCAGAGATGGTTTTCCTTCTGGAAGGTTCTCCCATCTCCACAGAGGAACTCTGGAGCTCTGTCAGAGTGACCATCGAGCTCTTGGTCACCTCCCTGACCAAGGCCCTTCTTCCCCGATTGTTCAGTTTGGCCGGGCGGCCAGCTCTAGGAAGAGTCTTGGTGGTTCCAAACTTCTTCCATTAAAGAATGATGGAGGCCACTGTGTTTTGGGGGACCTTCAAAGCTGCTGAAATGTTTTTGTATCCTTCCCCAGATCTGTGGCGCGATATAATCCTGTCTCAGAACTCTACGGCCAATTCCATCGACCTCATGGCTTGGTGTTTGCTCTGACATGCACTGTCAACTGTGGGCCCTTATATAGACAGGTGTGTGCCGTTCCAAATCATGTCCAATCAATTGAATTTACCACAGGTGGACTCCAATCACGTTGTAGAAACATCTCAAGGATGATCATTGGAAATAGGATGCATCTGAGCTCAATTTCTAGTCTCATAGCATAGTGTCTGAATGCTTATGTAAATAAGGTATTTCTGTCTTTCATTTTTTATACATTTGCAAAAAAATTCTAAAAACCTGTTTTTGGTTTGCCATGATGGGGTATTTTGTATCGATATGTCATATTTTTTAGAATAAGGCTGTAACGTCACAAAATATGGAAAAATTGAAGGCGTCTGAATACTTTCTTAATGCACTGTAAGTGAATTTGTCCAAATACTTTTGGTTCCCTAAAATGGAGGGACTATGTACAAAAAGTGCTGTAATTTCTAAATTATTCACCCGATATGGACGTAAATACCCTCACATTAAAGCTGTCAGTCTGCACTTTAACCTCATAGTCATTGTATCATTTCAAATCCTAAGTGCTGTCCAAATACCTTTTGACCTCACTGTATGTCAACTGCACCTTATCCAACGAGATAAATATATCAGTAGGTAAATGCAGCTGACAATACACTGTGTGTTGAGGCTGGAACAGCCAGTAGGCCCACGTTGAAAAATGACATCAACAATCAAACCATCAACCAGGAAATCACCTCATGTGCATGTATGTTTAATGCTGTCATTTTCACAGATTTTATTAATTTGCTGTTCATTGGTCTCTCTTGTTTTCCACAGGGCCAGGGGTAAATGTGTTTGTTTATTTCCAACTTCTTCAAGTCTTCATTCTGCTGACAGTCTGTCTGGGATCATACTGGTTTTACAAGAAGAAAACCAGTTCTCAAGCACAAGATCAGTAACCGTGCATTGTACCTTTTTAATTAAGGTCTATCTTTGTTTGATACGTTTCTCATTTTATTCTGTTTAATGCTCTCTCGCTCGCTCTCGCTCTCTCTCTCCATATGATGGTCATTAGTGTATGAAGTTGATCACAGTGGGATTACCTTATGACATAACTGCTAATGATGATGTAATACTGCTTACATTTGAAATGTTTGATATCGTTATTTTAACCTTTAAATAAGCTTTAATTATCATTTAGAATGGTAAATGAGTGTATATTGCATTGCAGCGTTTTGTTTTATGTCGCTTGTGATATAGTGCAGTCACAGAAATGCATGAGATTGGGAAGGCTTTTTACATGAGGACCTGTAACATAAAGACACTTTCCTTCTTCTTGTCACTGTTGTATCTTTAGAAATGTTCTTAAATAATCATTACTGACACTGTGAAATGAAAGTGAATTTGTTTAAACACTTCCTTTCCTGTAGAACATAGCTACCTACAAACACCATACATAGCTGGAGTGTTCAAGCAGCTTTAGTGACCATTTGAATAAGATTGTTTTGTTGTTGTTGTAATACACAGTGGAGACCCACATTGTGAGTCAATGGTTGAAGGCTTTAATTAATACAGATCTTAATATTAATAAGGGTTTTGTTGTGTAAGTCTAGTTTCAGTTCTTGATAAGGCATGCCAGCTGCGGAACTAGGGAGGAGTGAGGAATTAGGCTCGAGGTCAAGTCAAAAGATGAAGTGAGAAGACACCTCTGGGAGGGGGGCCAGAGGGGCCCAACACAATGACTCTCCTACTACAGTCCTATCTCACACACATACATTTCCACACCCACAAAGGTTCTAGCACCAGGCAGGGCCATGACTACACCAGTGAGAGGATCAATTAAGTTCCTGCCTAGCAACAGAGATGTATTGGCTGTCTAGTAGGAAGTTATAAATATATGTGCTTGTCCAATCATGCTTGGTCTTTGCAACTGTATGACCCACTGGGTGAATAAACTTGGTTTTAGCTATTCCTAGTTGTCCGTTTCAATTTTTACTCTGTTTGTTCAGAACCTAACAATACACATATTTAGCAGATGTTATTGCGGGTGTAGCAAAATGCTTGTGTTCCTAACTCCAACAGTGCAGTAATATCTAACAATACAAAACAATACACACAAATCTAAAAAGTAAAAAAATGGAATTAAGAAATATTGAAATATTAGGATGAACATTGGCTTAGTCCGGAGTATAAATATATATACACTGAATAAAAATATAAACGCAACATGTAAAGTGTTGGTCCCATGCTTCATGAGCGAAAAAACAAAAAATCCCAGGCATTTTACATACGCCAAAAATATTATTTTTCTCAAATGTTGTGCATAAATTTGTTTACATCGCTGTTAGTGAGCATTTCTCCTTTGCCAAGATAAGCCACCTGAAAGGTGTGGCATATCAAGAAGCTGATTAAAGAGCATGATCATTACACAGGTTCACCTTGTGCTGGGGACAATAAAAGCCCACGTTAAAATGTGCAGTTTTGTCACACAACAGAATGCTACAGATGTCTCAAGCTTTGAGGGAGCATGCAATTGGAATGCTGACTGCAGGAATGTCCACCAGGCCTGTTGATAGAGAATTTAATGTTAATTTCACTACCATAAGCTGCCTCCAACGTTGTTTGAAAGAATTTTGCAGTATGTCCAACCGGCCTCACAACCACAGACCACGTGTAACCACACCAGCCTAGGACCTCCACATCTAACTTCTTCACCTGTGGGATCATCTGAGGATGGGTGGGTGGGGTGCTGAAGATAATTTCTGTCTGTAATAAAGCTCTTTTGTGGGAAAAGTAACCAAAACAGTATTAAACAAATCAAAATATATTTTATGTTTGAGATTCTTCAAATAGCCACCCTTTGCCTTGATGACAGCTTTGCACACTCTTGGCATTCTCTCAACCAGCTTCACCTGGAATGTTTTTCCAACAGTCTTGAAGGAGTTCCCACATATGCTGTGCACTTGTTGGCTGCTTTTCCTTCACTCTGCGGTCCGACTCATCCCAAACCATCTCAATTGGCTTGAGGTCGGGGGATTGTGGATGCCAGGTCATCTGATACAGCACTCCCTCACTCTCTTTCTTTGTAAAATGCCCTTACACAGCCTGAAGGTGTGTTGGGTCATTGTCCTGTTGAAAAACAAATGATGGTCCAACTAATCCCAAACCAGATGGGATGGCGTATCACTGCAGAATGCTGTGGTAGCCATGCTGGTTAAGTGTGCCTTGCATTCTAAATAAATCACAGACAGTGTCACCAACAAAGCACCCCCACACATTAACACCTCCTCCTCCATGCTTTACAGTGGGAAATACACATGCGGAGATCATCAGTTCAACCACACCGCATCTCACAAAGCCACGGTGGTTGGAATAAAAAATCTCCAATTTGGACTCCAGTCCAAAGGACACATTTCCACCAGTCATTTTGTTAAGTTACAGCCTTATTCTAAAATGTATTAATTAATTTTTTTCCCTCATCAATATAAACACAATACTCCATAATGGCAAAGCAAAAACATGTTTTTAGATATTTTTTCAAATGTATATATTAATATTTCTAGAAAACAGAAATATCACATTTACATAAGTATTCAGACCCTTTACTCTGTACTTTGTTGAAGCACCTTTGACAGTGATTACATCCTCGAGTCTTATTGGGTATGACACTACAAGCTTGGCACACCTGTATTTGGGGAGTTTCGCTCATTCTTCTCTGCAGATCCTCTCAAGCTCTGTCAGGTCGGATGGTTGCTGCACAGCTATTTTCAGGTCTCTCCAGAGATATTCGATAGGGTTCAAGTCCGGGCTCTGGCTGGGCCAATCAAGGACATTCAGAGACTTTTCCCGAAACCACTCCAACATTGTCTTGGCTGTGTGGTTAAGGTCGTTGTACTGTTGGAAGGTGAACCATCGCCCCAGTCTGAGGTCCTGAGCGCTCCGGAGGAGGTTTTCATCAAGGATCACTCTGTACTTTGCTCCGTTCATCTTTCCATCAATCATGACGAGTCTCCCAGTCCCTGCTGCTGAAAAACATAAACAAAGCATGCTGCTGCCACCACCTTGCTTCACCGTAGGGATGGTGCCAGGTTTCCTCCAGACTTAACGCTTGGCATTCAGGCCAAAGAGTTCAATCTTGGTTTCATCAGACCAGAGAATCTTGTTTCTCATGGTCTGAGAGTCCTTTAGGTGCCTTTTAGCAAACTCGAAGCGGGCTGTCATGTGCCTTTTACTGAGGACTGGCTTCTGTCTGGCCACTCTACAATGAAGGCCTGATTGGTGGAGTGCTGCGGAGATGGTTGTTCACAGAGGAACTCAGAGGAACTCTGGATCTCTGTCAGAGTGACCATCAGGTTCTTGTTCACCTCCCTGACCAAGGCCCTTCTCCCCCGATTGTTCAGTTTGGCCGGCGGCCAGCTCTTGGAAGACTCTTGGCGGTTCCAAACTTCTTCCATTTAAGAATGATAGATGCCATTGTGTTCTTGGTGACCTTCAATGCTGCTGAAATGTTTTTGTACCCTTCCCCAGATCTGTGCCGCTACACAATCCTGTCTCAGAGCTCTACGGCCAATTCCATCGACCTCATGGCTTGGTGTTTGCTCTGACATGCACTGTCAACTGTGGGCCCTTATATAGACAGGTGTGTGTCGTTCCAAATCATGTCCAATCAATTGAATATACCACAGGTAGACTCCAATCACGTTGTAGAAACATCTCAAGGATGATCAATGGAAACAGGATGCACCTGAGCTCAATTACTAATCTCATAGCAAAGTGTCTGAATTTCTGTCTTTTATTTTTTATACATTTGCCAAAAAAATCTAAAAACCTGTTTTTGCTTTGCCATGATGGGGTATTTTGTATCGATATGTAATCTTTTTTAGAATAAGGCTGTAACGTAACAAAATATGGAAAAATTGAAGGCGTCTGAATACTTTCTTAATGCACTGTAAGTGAATTTGTCCAAATACTTTTGGTTCCCTAAAATGGAGGGACTATGTACAAAAAGTGCTGTAATTTCTAAATGATTCACCCGATATGGACGTAAATACCCTCACATTAAAGCTGTCTGTCTACACTTTAACCTCATAGTCATTGTATCTTTTCAAATCCTAAGCGCTGTCCAAATACTTTTTGACCTCACTGTATGTCAACTGCACCTTATCCAACGAGATAAATATATCAGTAGGTAAATGCAGCTGACAATACACTGTGTGTTGAGGCAAGAACAGCCAGTAGGCCCACGTTGACAAATGACATCAACAATCAAACCGTCAACCAGGAAATCACCTCAGATTTTATTAATTTGCTCTTCATTCGTCTCCCCTATTTTTTAAACAGAGCCAGGGGTAAATGTGTTTGTTCATTTCCAACTTCTTGAAAGCTTCATTCTGCTGACAGTCTGTCTGGGATTATACTAGTTTTACAAGAAGAAAACCTGCCCTCAAGCACAAGATCAGTAACCGTGGTTGAAAAACTAGTTTTAATGACTCAAACCTAAGTGTATGTAAACTTCCGACTTCAACTTTATGTAGTATCAGAAAGATACAGTTGAAGTCGGAAGTTTACATACACTTAGGTTGGAGTCATTAAAACTCGTTTTATAACCACTCCATAAATTTCTTGTTAACAAACCATAGTTTTGGCAAGTCGGTTAGGACATCTACTTTGTGCATGACACAAGTAATTTTTCCAACAATTGTTTACAGACAGATTATTTCACTTATAATTCACTGTATCACAATTCCAGTTGACTGTGCCTTTAAACAGCTAGGAAAATTCCAGAAAATGATATCATGGCTTTAGAAGCTTCTGATAGGCTAATTGACATCATTTGAGTCAATTGGAGGTGTACCTGTGGATGTATTTCAAGGCCTACCTTCAAACTCAGTGCCTCTTTGCTTGACATCATGGGAAAATCAAAATAAATCAGCCAAGACCTCTGAAAAACAATTATAGACCTCCACAAGTCTGGTTCATCCTTGGGAGCAATTTCCAAATGCCTGAAGGTACCACGTTCATCTGTACAAACAATAGTATGAAAGTATAAACACCATGGGACCACACAGCCGTCATACCGCTCAGGAAGGAGACGCTTTCTGTCTCCTAGAGATGAACGTACTTTGGTGCGAAAAGTGCAAATCAATCCCAGAACAACAGCAAAGGACCTTGTGAAGATGCTGGAGGAAACAGGTACAAATTTATCTATATCCACAGTAAATGAGTCCTATATCGACATAACCTGAAAGGCCGCTCAGCAAGGAAGAAGCCACTGCTCCAAAACCGCCATAAAAAAGACAGACTACGGTTTACAACTGCACATGGGGACAAAGATTGTACTTTTTGGAGAAATGTCCTCTGGTCTGATGAAACAAAAATAGAACTGTTTGGCCATAATGACCATCGTTACGTTTGGAGGAAAAAGGGGGGATCTGCAAGCCGAAGAACACCATCCCAACCGTGAAGCACGGGGTGGCAGCATCATGCTGTGGGGGTGCTTTGCTGCAGGAGGGACTGGTGCACTTCACAAAATCGATGGCATCATTAGGAAGGGAAATTATGTGGATATATTGAAGCAACATCTCAAGACATCAGTCAGGAAGTTAAAGCTTGGTCGCAAATGGGTCTTCCAAATGGACAATGACCCCAAGCATACTTGTGGCAAAATGGCTTAAGGACAACAAAGTCAAGGTATTGGAGTGGCCATCCCAAAGCCCTGACCTCAAGCCTATAGAACATTTGTGGGCAGAGCTGAAAAGCATGTGCGAGCAAGAAGGCCTACAAACCTGACTCAGTTACACCAGATCTGTCAGGAGGAATGGGCCAAAATTTTCCCAACGTATTGTGGGAAGCTTGTGGAAGGCTACCCAAAACATTTGACCCAAGATTTTTTCAAACCCACAACCCTGGCGTTGCAAACACCATGCTCTATCAACTCAGCTACATCCCTGCCAGCTATTCCCTCCCCTACCCTGGACCAATTGTGCACCGCCCATGAGTCTCCCGGTCGCGGCCAGCTGCAACAGAGCCTGGATTCGAACCAGGATCTCTAGTGGCACAGCTAGCACTGTGATGCAGTGCCTTAGACCACTGCGCCACTCAGGAGAGTTAATTGTATGTAAACTTCTGACCCAATGGGAATGTGATGAAAGAAATAAAATCTGAAATAAATCATTCTCTCTACTGTTTCTCTGACATTTCACATTATTAAAATAAAGTGGTGATCCTAACTGACCTAAGACAGGGCATTTTTACTAGGATTAAATGTCAGGAATGTGAAAAACTTAGTTAAAATATATTTGGCTAAGGTGTATGAAAACTTCTGACTTCAACTGTGCATTTGGATTGCACCTCCATCTTATCACTAAAATCAGTAGTAAACAATCTTTCTTTTCAAAGTAAGTTTGTTCAATGTTTGCTTGTAAAATGATCAGTTTGGTCACAAAGTGAATAAGTGAAATTATGAAAGAGGTTCAGTTGAGAAAGTTGTCATTTTCTTAAAAACTGCCCTTTTTCTATCTTTGCAGGATTGGAGACCTCCTGTGATGCTAGAAAGGATGGAACTAAGTGTTATGGAGCTCTGGGAGGAACTGTCTATCTCCAGTTGATCATCAACGCCAGTGGACATGAGCTTGAATTCAAGAACAACATCACAGGGACAAACGTTTTCAAATTAGAAAACGGCAAAGTCAAAACAAACCCTCCTTTAAAACACAGAGCAGTGTTCTATGTGGAAGATGGGATGTTGATGCTCAGTAACACAGAGAAGGCTGATTATGGGAAATATGACTTAAACATTTACAACTCAGAGGGGATGCTTCTGAACACAAGACAATTAGACCTACTCCTGGTTACTGAAGGTATAGAACTTTGAAACACTTTATTTGGATTGTCGCCAATATATGGTTTATAGATGTTCAACTAACTGTCAACAAACTATTTAACTAACTAACTATCCACTAACTCTAACTAACCCTAGCCCCAACCTAAACCATTACTTAACCTTCATGACTGTTTTAGAGAGTGAAATAATAGCTGTCTTTACTCATTCCTCGACAGCCCCAGTGTCCCCTCCTCAGCTGTCCTCTGAGTGTCTGTCCCAAGAAGAGATGAGGGTGACCTGCTCCTTTGAGGGGACAGTCCCCAGTACAGCTGGACTCTGGACGGACAGACACTGAATGGAATGGAGGCTTTTCTCAGTGACATGACAGACACCGTCATTCTGAAGAAGGGTGTAGTGGGGACTCTCGCTTGTACAGTGAAAAACCATATCAGCAATGTTACCATCACTCAAGAAATCTCCTTATGTAGGCCTACTGGTAAGTGTCTTAAATGTAGCGCTTTGTTACTAATAATATGTATTTTATATATAACATTATACATTATCTTATATAGCTTGTATGTAATGTCTCCCTTCCTTCCCCCAGGACCATGGGTCAATGTGTTTGTTTATTTCCAACTTGCTGAGGTCTTCTTTCTGCTGACAGTCTGTCTGGGATCATACTGTTTCTACAAGAAGAAAACCTGTCCTCAAGCACAAGGTCAATAAACATGTACCATTGTTCCTATATAGCCCATACCATTGACTCTGCTGAATGTGTAACTTTATCTATCTGATACATATTTTTATTTCACTGTTGGTCTCTTTCTTTCCCTTTACTGTGTATCATTCTATCTTTCTCTGTCTGCATCTCTCTCTCTCTTTCTGTCTGCATCTCTCTCTCTCTCTCTCTCTCTCTCTCTCTCTCTCTCTCTCTCTCTCTCTCTCTCTCTCTCTCTCTCTCTCTCTCTCTCTCTCTCTCTCTCTCTCCACAGATGATGATGAATAAGCAAAGAGTGCTTACTCAGGATACACAAAAGAAGAGGTTTACTGTTCCAGAGGTTTAGAGGAAGAAGTGGATGTCCTCAGAGATGCTGTGAGGACAAAACCAAGCTGTGAGATGTTGCTGACATAATATTGCATTCTATTGAAAATGTATCTTATTGTTCTTTTAATGTTTTCAATGTTATTTCAAATGAGTATATACTGCTGTCAGTGACTGTAATAACTTTATAACATTTGTGAGAATAACCTTTTGCAATAAAATACAAAAAACAATGACAATTACAGTACGTTGCCTTTATAATGATGATTGGGAGTTAATTTTAGTGGTGTAACAGGAAGAAGACAAAACTCTGCACTTGACTTTTCCTACTAGCACTGACTTTGCTGATAGCTTCTTTATTGAGGAAAAATGTAATTACTATGACTGTGATATGTAGTTCTCTCACCAAGCTATCTTAAGATGAATGCACTAACTGTGAATGACTCAAATGTAAATGAAAATGTAACAGCACCTAGTAACTCTGGTGACCCCGTAAAAAAGTCCAGCGAGTGGGCCATGATCATCCTGCTTAAACAGTTGTAGCCCTCTGGCTGGGTATCAAAAATGGCATGGATAGGCAGAGCTGTGGATTGGATGTGGCATGGCATCATATTGACCTCTACATGAATACATTTCCCTGAGAAGTGTATTGAGGACTTCTTCCCAAGATAAATATCTGTTACACCTTTTAAATAAGAAGTTTGACTTTACACTTGTGTCATGGCTTATTTTATCACAGGGCACACACATTTTATATTAGCTGAATGTTTACTGAGATTTTTTACCCAAACAGGAAAACCCATTTGGCTTCCCTATATAAAGACTGGGCCAACTCTTAGTTTCTCATGCATTGCTTGATCAATAGGCAAGTGCAAAGTCAGCAAAAGTCAGAATTGTGATGGATACATATTTTTGTCTCAATCCTCAGGCATGGAGACCTACTGTAATGCTACACTGGAGCTCCATGTTACAGAACTCTGGGAGGAACTTTCCTTGTCCATCTGAAAACTAGTCCCAGGGAACATAAACTGATGGAGGATAAATTGAGGGAAGATAGATTTTGGGAAGATAAAGAAAATAGACTGAGGCCAGATACATTGAGGGAATTACGCACAACAGAATGAGGGAAGATCAAGAAAATAGATTCAGACAAAATAGATTGAGGGAAGATAAATTCAGGGAAGATAAGATATATAAAAAGTCTAAGATGTAGGGGGGGGAGGGGGGGACATAAACTGACATATTGTTAGAAATTGCGTAATTCAAAACTGGTATTGGAATAAGAATCAAGAGATCTTCAATCCAAGCTTAATTTATTATATGCAAAATGTATGTATGATAAGTATGAAGGTTCGTATATACGGGTCCGCTGAGATACCACGCAGGGCACTCTGAGAACTGATCCATTGTTCTAAGTTCTTCTTCAAATACTCTGACAGAAAGCCTCCACTTCTTCTGTTGGCCAACCAGAGCAAAGGACTGAGTGTGGTCCAGACTCCATTTCAGCCAATCCGTTCCATTTGTTGCCAGGCATAGTTGCTATGATAATAACCTGCGGAGTCAGCACCGAAAATACACAAATCCACTGTAGCCATGTTCAAGGACAGTTTCACAGACAACAAAGAGAGAGTGTTCTTATCAGCCTGTTATGTGAAACAATCCATATCAGTACAGTGCTCCTCATTAATGCATTCCTTCCAAGCTATTCATCACATACAGATCCAATTAAAAAATAAAACCCAACAATTCCCCCTTTTGACGCCCTCTAGGGTGTCACTCATTAAAATACAATACAAACAAAAATAAACACTTTTATTAATAGACAATTTGATAATAAAAGTCCTTCAGTCCTTCCATCGACACCCAACTTCGCAAACGGTTGGCCACAAGTCACCCAGGCACTTCAAACCTTCACATAAGGAAAGACAAACATTCTCAATGTTAACTTGATTAATAAAGCATAAAACACAGGATTAATAGAACACAAAACACAAGATTATTAAAACATAAAACACCAACAGGGAAGTAAATTTTGGCCCCCTTTAGACACCCTCTAGAGTGTCACTCCACCAAGCCTGGTAGGTCATATCCTACATTCCTTAGGTCGGAGTCCGGGATTGGGCCGTATCTCACCATCTGTTTGTAAACCACCTTCTCCATCTCCTTTTCTCACCAACCCTCAGACACAGGAAATAAGACAACATCCACAAAGAACAAGTATACCCATAGAAGCTATAACTTCACCCAGAATAGTCACAACAATAGTTTTCCATTTACCAAATATGTTATCAAACCAACCGTTTATGGAGCTATCAATACCAGAGTTCTCAGCCAGTTCGTTCGCCAGCGTGGTGATGGTCACTCAAGCGCTTTGGTCACGGGCCCGTCCGGTGCTATATTGTTGGAGATGAAAGTACAGCACATATATCCAAACAGAACACAAACCCCGTCCCGCTCAGCCAAAAGCATATCTAAAGCTATTCTATTCTGCCATGTCATTAAGCTAGTTGCCGCTGTCTGCTCAGCTAATCCCTTTATAGCATCACGAGTGTGGTTTATAAATCTTTTGCTGGTTATATTAAATATAATTTATCCAATCTACATTTTTATTAATTGTTGACCACCAGAAAATACTTGATTCAAACCCAGCTGCGATCTGATTGTGGATCCCATCAATATATATCCTTTCATCAAAGGATCCTGGGAGGAGGTCCTACTTTCTATGTGACAACTCACCAGTCTCTGACACGTTTGATTGTTTGCGTATGTAGGTGAGTTCACAATCAGTTATCACCACACAACCATCAGATGTCAGCTCGGGCCTGGTATTGGCTCCTAAAATCCTCTGGCTGCAACAAAGAGGAGAGATTAGTCATGGTCTCTTTTAGTTGTGATATTCTCTGTGTGGGAGCAGGAGCTAAGAGGCCCTACCCTGTATCCTATCTTACTAGTCCTAGAAAAACAATTAGAATCCCCTGTGATTTCAAACTGAGGCAACCCAGGTCGGGATGACTTTGTTATCGGGGGAAACAGATAGTGCAAGTTACCATAACACTCTTTCACCACATTCCCAGGTGGCTTGCATGGAGGATAAACCTGACAGAGAGTCAAAGCCTGTCAAGGGGAACGGAGTAGTTGTTAACCTTGGTTTGGCTGTCCTACAGGCATAACAGTCCTCTTTAGACCGTATACTGAATCCATTCCAACCACAGGTTAAAATCTATTTACTCCGTCTCCATCTGTACTACTTCCTTCAGGTCTATAGTTTGCACTGTCTCACTACCTCCCTCAGAGAGGTTTACTCTATAGGGTGCCCCAGTTGAAGAGGATATCTCACCTGTCAGGTCTGTAATCTGTTTTAGCATAATTCAGACTTTCAGACAGTACCTACCCTCATATGGGTCGCACTGCCATTTCTGATAATTCCCTACTTTCACAACCCTAAACTGTGTATGGAGATTGGTGATGTCCCTTCCCTAAAGTCCCTAGTACTTCCCCTTTCCCTACGTCTAGCTGTCTCCTATGCCTTTTCAACTTGTGTTAGGTTAACTACCACTTCTGGCTGAAACAGGAGGGTTTGAGTGTGTTAGGAATATGGCCCCCACAATCAGACAGCTACCTACCTTCGGCAGACCTGTGAATCCCCACCCTCGCCCTGAAAACATGTCAGACGCCAGAGGCCAACCCATTGCTTCACCTTCTATCGAACTCACACAGGGATGATCAGACAGGGTAAGGGAATCTTCGTTAAGGAGCCAACCCCCGAGCCCTAGTGGTGATCGGATCTTTCTCCTAACTCTGTGTTTGTTCGTCAGGTGTAGCTGGGTTTACCTTTTTGCAGTGAGTGACATGCACCCAAATGGATATCTCAGCTATTCTGCTGGCAAAGGCAGTACTTGGTAGGGCCCTTCTCGCCAGGCCTGCTTCAGTCTCCTGGTTAGATAGAGTGGGTCACCTTCTCCTTTAGTTCACCTGTGGGGCACAAAACCTCTGACATACAGGTGTGGTTAATAAACTATCATACATTTTTTTTTTTTTTTTTTTTTAAGTATTTTGTCCTCTCCTTCGTATATATTTAATATTTAATCCAACCATCCCCCTTTTGACACATGATTTGGCCATGTGTCAATATTACCACCTACCTAAACAATCACTTTAGTTAATATTGGTAATTCATTATCCAATTGCCATTCCTCCACTCTCTCTCCTGTTATTTTATGGTTCAAATCAAATATATTATTACAAAATTATAATCTTCTTCACAATTTGCACAGTATTACAAATTACCCTCAATTTAGTAAAATAAACTATCTTAAAATCCTCCTCTCATGACTTTAGAATTTACTAGTGTGGATGATTAATTAACACCAGAAGGTTAAAACAGAGTTCAGAGGCAATTGAAATCATTTAACGAACTGTTTAATCCCATAGTATACTAAACATTACCATTATTCTAAATATTTCATAAATGTTAGTTATCCCAAGTGTTCATTAAATCCTCATGACATTCATTCTCATAAGAAATCAAATATACCCCAAACTCAGCCAAAAGCTAAAAAACTCCATAAAATTCACTGTGTGCTCCTCTAAGACCTATCACCCTTGACCTGCTGAAACCCCCCCAAAATTGAAACAACAAGGCTTTATAAACATCATACTAGGTGTGTTGTTTTTTGTTTGAAAAACCCAATTTGAAAAACTACCACAAATAGCCAGGCCTTAATTTGGTAGCTCACTTTTATGACCTAAATACTGCCTAACTCCACTACTGCTCCCCTAGCCCTTGGCAACATTCCAACGAGATGAGCTAATCTCTTTCTCCTGGTTATCCCCAGTCTTAACCCATCAATAATTGTTTGTATCAATCTAATTCCTCATAACTAATCTATAAAACCACTCAAAATTCCTCGAGTATACAATGATTATTTAATTGATTACCCTAACTCTGCTACATGTACCAAAAATTTATATTTTCCCGCTAAACCATTTCAGTTCGCTATTCAATTTATTTAACTGTTCTCTCTGATTATGCCCTAATTAATAAAACAAATACTTGCTATCGTTGATTAGCATACATTTAATGATGTTCCTACCATCTGAACTGTACTGTCTCTCACCCTCCCCTTGCTCCTTCGGGGAGAGCGCATGGTAACCATATAACATATTTTCATAGACTTTTCTAGAATACTTCTATTTAAGCTATCTAATTCAACCTTTCACATAGTAATCTAGGTATATAGCCCCACTGCGAAAGCTTTGTCTACTGTCCCTACCTGTGTTCGAACCAGGGACATCGCCAGTCACTCCACACCATCTACGATTCTCTCAAAGTAAATACTTTCACGTCGCACATCCAGCCACGTCATCACCCCCGTCTAGCCAGCCCTTCCGTCTCAAACACCCTATTAGCAAAAATAAAACACACTCTAACAGCGTTCTGCATTTACCTCTATCATCAGGTTTAAGAACTAACGTAACAACATTAACTATTCTCTATTGCTGTAGTAACGTCTTGTTTGGTTCCAGTTTATTTATTACGGAGTGTCCATAATACTATAATAATATATAATCGAATTCCCCTCATGCATACAGATTTCACCTTATGCCATTGAAATGCCAAATAAACCATAATAGTTCAATGGAGCCCCCTATTGGCTCTCCCTACCTATACATTACTTCTACAACCACTTTAGTTATGGTCCGATTACAAATTAAACCTTATCACATGATCAAACAACGCCACAACCTTAAACTCATATGGGGCGGCAGGCAGTTTAGTGATCAGTAGCGCCGCGCCAACAACCGAGAGGTCGCCGGTTCCAATCCCCGAGCCGACCAGGCGAAAAATCTGCCGATGTGCCCTTGAGCAAGGCACTCAACCCCAATCGCTCCTGCAAGTCGCTCTGGACAAGAGCGTCTGCCAAATCACAAAAAATGCAAATGTAAATATTCTCTACTTTCTCACCCATCTCATCCCTTGTCAGAAACCCACAGGCACCTCTCAAATAATCACCCCGTGGTGTTCCCAGCCAACTCCCAGTCTTTCCTCGCTCCAAAAGCCACACTTTCGCTCTCTTCAGCCCCTCCCCTCGCAACTTTCTCTCCCTCTCCTCTGGGAGCAGGCTCTTTCGAGGAGCTGTGTTAGTGTTTCCAATATTCTGTGGTTATTTAAAGTATTTTAGTCTATTTATTTAAATCAAATCATTCCCACCTAATTAGTTAAAGTTGGTGCATATTTATATTTCAACGATTAACCGAATTATTTCAGTCTAATTGTTTAACCAGTATTTTGCAGGGTCAAACATCAAACGTTAAATCAAATAATAAACCAAAAAGCTTCAACCCAAACACCTAGAACCAGTATTATGCTATGTCAAACATCAAACACTGAATCAAATAATAAACCGAATTGTTTCAACACAACTATTCAAAACCAGTTCAGTCACACAATTAATCACTTTAGCTTTATGTTCCCAATTGTTTTAACGGGTTATATGGTTTAAGCAACCACAAACCCAACAGTTATCCCCAAATTATACAGTTTGGACAGCCACAGACATTTTAATTCCCAATTAGTTTTCTATCAAGGTATACTGGTTTATCATTCACACTCTCATTCATACGACCACACTCACACTGTCTAACCTTTTATCATGCTTCCTATGATTTTTAAGTCATAAACCGTACTGTCACACCACTTGTGTAGAATATCTTCTATGGGAGTCAGACCCCTCTAACCATAGTTCACTACTTATTTAAAACACCTCCTATGGGAGTCACACCCTCTAACCATAGGTCACACCATTTATTTAAAATACATCCTATGGGAGTCACACCCTCTAACCATAGGTCACACTGTTAATTTAAAATACATCCTATGGGAGTCACACCCTCTAACCATAGGTCACACTGTTTATTTAAAATACATCCTATGGGAGTCACAACCTCTAACCATAGGTCACAATGTTTATTCGCTTTAAAGTGCCACCTATGAACCTCTAGTCATAGTTTGCACTCCCATGGGTTTAACCATCACAATTATCAAACACTTGCATAGTATATTATGAAATCGAAATAGTATACTGTAATTGTTATTTATAGTACAATAGGGTTCACTTACATCAAACAGGTGTTTCACAAAATTAATTTGGATAAAGCCAATGTGCAAAACTTCAGTTATATTACAATAGGTGTTTTGCTTACCTTTATAGAAGCCCGGGCAATTTGTGAAACACTGTTCGATGACAGTGATGTCCAATAGGCTGGGTGAATTCCAGCGAAGTGAAGTTCCGCTACCAGATCACAGTCGGAGGTCACCAATTGTTAGAAATTGCGTAATTCAAATCTGGTATTGGAATAAGAATCAAGAGATCTTCAATCCAAGCTTAATTTATTATATGCAAAATGTATGTATGATAAGTATGAAGGTTCGTATATACGGGTCCGCTGAGATACCACGCAGGGCACTCTGAGAACTGATCCATTGTTCTAAGTTCTTCTTCAAATACTCTGACAGAAAGCCTCCACTTCTTCTGTTGGCCAACCAGAGCAAAGGACTGAGTGTGGTCCAGACTCCATTTCAGCCAATCCGTTCCATTTGTTGCCAGGCATAGTTGCTATGATAATAACCTGCGGAGTCAGCACCGAAAATACACAAATCCACTGTAGCCATGTTCAAGGACAGTTTCACAGACAACAAAGAGAGAGTGTTCTTATCAGCCTGTTATGTGAAACAATCCATATCAGTACAGTGCTCCTCATTAATGCATTCCTTCCAAGCTATTCATCACATACAGATCCAATTAAAAAATAAAACCCAACAATATGGAAACGGTCATACCATGGTCATACCATGGATCATTTAGCTATTTGATTTAGAATTTTTGGACCCCTTTAGGTATAACACATATATACAAAAAATATTTGATAAATAGTACCAAATCCCATACAAACGCATTAAAAATGAATAAAACATTAAGAAATGGCAAAAAATAAAGTCCAAAAATCAATCATAAGGAATACATTTATGAAGCGTCTGTCCTATATATCTAGGAGATATAAGAAAGCTCAGGAAATATTTTTGTTGTTTTGACACATATTTAACCCCGTTTTGGGTAGGCACAAAACTACCTCCATACTTCCATTCATTTCTTTAAACAGGTACCGGTTACCTTCAGACGAGTCCCGTGACATTTGTGGGGGTCGTAGAGCAAAACGGAGAACACCATCGTGTTCGGTATCGACTTCGGACGTGTTTGTGAGAGTCTCATCTTTCCTTAGAGTGGTCATATTAGTTTTTTAGGCCAAACCGTTCAGACGCTACAGCCGGTTTTCGTGAGAAGACCGATTTTCTGGATGTCTCATGGTCTGACAAACACCGCTGTAGCTCGGCCACCTTCCACCGCAGATGTGGAAGGCCGACATAGGCAGATGTGGTGGATTGAGATGCTGCCCATGCACAAAACAGATATCTCTAACTTAAATTGATGGATTTTGATGGGGATTTTTTTATGTTATCAAAGGTGCGTCAATAGACTGCGCTGTGAGCCACCTGAGCCAGGTCAAGGACAAGCCTAGCAGCGAGCCCCCCGTGTAGCTCAGTTGGTAGAGCATGGCATTTGCAACGCCAGGGTTGTGGGTTCGATTCCCACGGGGGGCCAGTATGAAAAATGTATGCACTCACTAACTGTAAGTCGCTCTGGATAAGAGCGTCTGCTAAATGACTAAAATGTAAAATGTAAATGTAAAAGACCTCACATGTGATTCAGATATATTGACTAAAATAATTTCCGAAAGACAGCCTGAATCACTTTTTTCTAAATCTTTTGGATCTTTTAGATTAGGATTCTCTATGGTTAATGTTAAGATAACAACTGCAAGTGATTGCCGAATATTGTGTAGAAGTCTTCCACTCAAAATCTGAAATGTCAAGGGCAAGAGAAATACAACTACTCATTCAAGGTACATTGGTAAAATGCAGAAGTAGATTCTACAGAATTTGGTGGTTTAAGAACCTTTTGAAACTTTTAAAAAGACACAGTAATCTCCGTATTTAGTCACCATCAATTTCCTGTCTTTACCCACTGTCTATGAACTTCTTACATATTTAGCTAAAAGCAGTCTATTCTTCTTCCTCCACAGCCCCAGTGTCCTATCCTCAGCTATCCTCTGAGTGTCTGTCCGATGGAGAGATGAGGGTGTCCTGCTCCTCTGAGGGTGATGCTCCCCAGTACAGCTGGACTCTGGACAGACAGATGCTGAGAGACACTGAGGACTGTCCATGTTACAAAAGAAGCACCATCACTCTGAGGAATGGCCTGCCTGGAGATCTCACCTGTACCGTCAGAAACGACATATGCAGTGCTACCACCAGCAAGACAATCTCACCTTGTCCGGGTAAGCTATAGTCTGTTGTCAGTACTATCTGCCTTTATTTGGACACATTATGATAAATTATTTGAAATTTGAAAAATGATTTGTAATTATATTGATCATCATCATCATCATCATTGTCATCGTCATGATTATTATCATGATTATCATCATGATTATCAAAGGAAATTAATCATTTCAGTTTGCCAGTTTTCATCTCAGATGCTGTATAGTTTCTGTTTTAATTGCTTACAGGCATCAAATACGAGCCATTCACCACACCAAAACCAGACTTGGTTATCACCACTGGAAGACCACATCAAGGCAATCATGCAAACATCTTAGATGAAATCTCTCTCAGTCGCTCAGTCAAGGGTACCAGTGGACTCAGAGGAGGCCAGGCTGTGAAATACAGGAAGCTTAATGTGTATAAATTGGCTTTTCGATATTGTTCTTCATTGTATTTCAAACAACTGTGTACTACTAACGGACACACTCTGTCTTAATTCATCAAATATTTGTTTTTTGTGTTTGCATGTTTTCTGTCCAGAATAGAGTACTGTATTGAAAATAATAATAGATTTTTCCCCTAAATAAACACATGTTCAGATGACAAATGCAACTGAAAGTAGGCTACTGTCGTTTGTCTGGTGGTAAACATTCTATTTAACTGACACAGTACAATACTCATTATTGTATTTCTGGTATTTAGAGGAAGATTGCCCTCTAGTGGCCTACAGAAAGTGGTCCAGTCTGTTAGTGCCGTGTAGCCAACTCATCTCTGTGGTTGTTCATTGTTATGACAAACATCTCATGTTTGGTTCAGTGTGGCTCAGTCGGTAGAGCATGGCACTTGCAACGTCTAGGTTGTGTGTTCAATTCCCAAGGGGGACCAGTACTAAAATGTATGCACTCACTACTGTAAGTCGCTGTGGATAAGAGCATCTGCTAAATGACTGAAATGTAAATAACGATAGAATAACATATAGTATGGGACCAGGCTAGCATGTAGAGGCATAATCCCTCCTTTAGCAATAGCATCCAGAGGAACATATCTGACCTGCCACAACATTTTATGTGGCCCTTATCATTAATTGAAGAGTTTTTCTTTCTTCAAAAATGATATATCCACCAATCTTTCACGTGTGTTTTTTCATCAGAAATGATTGCTTATGGGTACCTTCAAGTGCGTGTAAAATATTACTCTTCTCAGATTTTCTTAATAGATTTAATAGATTTCATAAAATGTGTTTTTTTGCAAAACGCTATATACTGTATCCATTGTTTAGCTGGAATGGAATCTTCGTATCCTATATATTTGACTGTGATATGTGGTTGTCTCACCTAGCTATCTTAAGATAAATGCACTTACTGTAAATTGCACTCTATTACTGTAAATCACTCTGGATAACAGCATCTGCTAAATGACAAAAATGTAAATGTTTTAAATACAAATCTCATATTACTGTATTTAATATTTGTTTATAATGTTTTATTTTTTTGATGTCACAAATGTATAATTTGCACAGTTCTTTATTAAAAATGTATTTATTCAAATCAAATTAAATTGGTTTTTGTTGCATTTCACTGTGTAAAACATAGCAGTACTACTTATTTCTCTGAGAGTGGATATTTAGCATTTTGCAATAAAACATTATTATTTGTCTCTCTGAAATGAAACCATCAAGTGATTTAAACAAATGTCTGTCATTGAAAAACCACATGCATGCCGTGATTAGATAATGAAAAAACACATTAATCGCTCTCATAAGTTCTTTAAACAATAAAAGCTCATTTACCAACATTTCTGAAAATAGATATATAGTGTTTGGGAATGAAACGCTTCATAACATTTCATAAACAAAAGGTCTGTTAAAATACACTCACCTTGATTTTCAATGTAAAACATTCACTCCCCACATGGCCAGTGTGGTGTAACAGTGTTTCTCAACCTTTCTTGCACCATGGATGGTCCTTCCTTCTGGGAGGAGTGCCTATATTAAAACTAGCACTTGACAACTGACTGAGTTTGTGTCAGAGAAACACTGTAACAAACACAGCTATAAAAACGGAATTGTGTTTCTCTAAATAACCTAAAGTATAAGGTTGATCATCCAGTCTGATACAACGTTCTCACAGTGTAAATCTGGTGTGACAATTTATTTTGTATCACATTTCCTCATATAGCCGTAATGCAAATCTAGTCTCAAGATCTCTTGTTCGCTTAGGTACAGCATATATCATATCTTATGAAATGCCTTATCGTATATTAAAATGTTTATGCATTGGTCTGTGAAAGGAAGAAGTGAGATCATGGGTCAAATCAAATGAAATCACATTTTATTTGCCACATGCGCCGGATAAAACAGGTGTAGACATTACAGTGAAATGCTTACTTACAAGTCCTTAAACAACAATGCAGTTTAGGAAAAAAATAAAAATAGCAAATAATTAAAGAGCAGCAGTAAAATAAAATAACAGTAGGGAGGTTATATACAGGGGGTACCGTTACAGAGTCAATGTGCGGGGGCACCAGTTAGTCGAGGTAATTGAGGTAATATGTACATGTGGGTAGAGTTAAAGTGACTATGCATAAATAATAAACAGAGTAGCAGCAGCGTAAAAGAGGGGGTTGGGGTGGGGGGGCAATGCAAATAGTCTGGGTAGCCTTGATTAGCTGTTCAGGAGTCTTATGGCTTGGGGGTAGAAGCTGTTAAGAAGCCTTTTGGACCTAGACTTGGCGCTCCGGTACCGCTTGCCGTGCGGTAGCAGAGAGAACAGTCTATGACTAGGGTGGCTGGAGTTTTTGATAATTTTTAGGGTCTACCTCTGACACCGCCTGGTATAGAGGTCCTGGATGGCAGGAAGCTTGGCCCCAGTGATGTACTGGGCCGTACGCACTACCCTCTGTAGTGCCTTGCGGTTGGAGGCCGAGCAGTGGCCATACCAGGCGGTGATGCAACCAGTCAGGATGCTCTCGATGATGCAGCTGTAGAATTTTTTGAGGATCTGAGGACCCATGCCAAATCTTTTCAGTCTCCTGAGGGGGAATAGGCTTTGTCGTGCCCTCTTCACGACTGTCTTGGTGTGTTTGGACCATGATAGTTCGTTGGTGATATGGACACCAAGGAACTTGAAGCTCTCAACCTGTTCCACTACAGCCCCGTCGATAAGAATGGGGGCGTGCTCAGTCCTATTTTCTTTCCTGTAGTCCACAATCATCTCCTTTGTCTTGATCACGTTGAGGGAGAGGTTGTTATCCTGGCACCACACAGCCAGGTGTCTGACCTCCTCCCTATAAGCTGTCTCATCATTGTCGGTGATCAGGCCTACCACTGTTGTGTCGTCAGCAAACTTAATGATGGTGTTGGAGTCGTGCCTGGCCATGCAGTCATGGGTGAACAGGGAGTACAGGAGGGGACTGAGCACGCACCCCTGAGGGGCCCCCGTGTTGAGGATCAGTGTGGCAGATGTGTTGTTACCTACCCTTACCACCTGGGGGCGGCCCATCAGGAAGTCCAGGATCCAGTAGCAGAGGGAGGAGTTTAGTCCCAGGGTACTTATCTTAGTGATGAGCTTTGAGGGCACTATGGTGTTGAACGCTGAGCTGTAGTCAATGAATAGTATTCTCACGTAGGTGTTCCTCTTGTCCAGGTGGGAAAGGGCAGTGTGGAGTGCAATAGAGATTGCATCATCTGTGGATCTGTTGGGGCGGTATGCAAATTGTAGTGGGTCTAGGGTTTCTGCGATAATGGTGTTCATGTGAGCCATGACCAGCCTTTCAAAGCACTTCATGGCTACAGACGTGAGTGCTACGGGTCGGTAGTCATTTAGGAAGGTTATCTTAGTGTTGTTGGGCACAGGGACTATGGTGGTCTGCTTGAAACATGTTGGTATTACAGACAGATGAAAATGTCAGTGAAGACACTTGCCAGTTGGTCAGTGCATGCTCTGAGTACACGTCCTGATAATCCGTCTGGCCCTGCTGCCTTGTGAATGTTGACCTGCTTAAAAGGCTTACTCACATCGGCTACAGAGAGCTTGATATAGTCATCCGGAACAGCTGATGCTCTCATGCATGCTTCAGTGTTGCTTGCCTCGAAGCGAGCATAGAAGCGATTTAACTCATCTGGTAGGCTTGTGTCACTGGGCATTTCGCGGCTGTGCTTCCCTTTGTAGTCTGTAATAGCTTTCAAGCCCTGCCACATCCGACGAGCGTCAGAGCCAGTGTAGTACGATACAATCTTAGTCCAATATTGACGCTTTGCCTGTTTGATGGTTCGTCGGAGGCCCTAGTGGGATTTCTTATAAGCGTCCGGGTTAGAGTTCCGCTCTTTGAAAGCGGCAGCTCTACCCTTTAGCTCAGTGCGGATGTTGCCTGTAATCCATGGCTTCTGGTTGAAGTATGTACGTACGGTCACTGTAGGGACGACGTCATCGATGCACTTATTGATGAAGCCAGTTACTGATGTGGTGTACTCCTCAATGCTATCGGAAGAATCCCGGAACATATTCCAGTCTGTGCTAGCAAAACAGTCCTGTAGCTTAGCATCTGCGTCATCTGACCACTTCCTTATTAACCGAGTCACTGGTGCTTCCTGCTTTAGTTTTTGCTTATAAGCAGGAATCAGGAGGATAGAGTTATGGTCAGATTTGCCTAATGGAGGGAAAGGGAGAGCTTTGTACGCGTCTCTGTGTGTGGAGTAAAGGTGGTCTAGAGTTTTTTTCCCTCTGGTTGCACATTTAACATGCTGGTAGAAATTAGGTAGAACGGATTTATGTTTCCCTGCATTAAAATCCCCGGCCACTAGAAGTGCTGCCTCTGGATGAGCGTTTTCCTGTTTACTTATGGCCTTACACAGGTCATTGAGTGCAATCATGCTCATTAAGACCGCTATGAAAAATATAGCTGAAAACTCTCATGGTAAATAGTATGGTCTACAGTTTATCGTGAGATACTCTACCTCATGCAAGCAAAACCTCGAGACTTCCTTAGTATTAGATTTTATGCACCAGCTGTTGT